ACCACTTACATCAACATTGATTACTAGAAGTTTCAAATTATATCACATTTAAATATAATTTTTAAAATTATGTTCTTCAAAATAAAAAATAAGTTTCAGTTTTATACGATTTGTTTTTATTAACATTATAAAATTACTATAAGGGTATTCGCATAATGTAGCGAGATATATTTTGATTTTAATATTTCATTTTATTCTTTATCTCAGTCGATGTTATAATATGGTCTTATGTGATTTTGAAAAAAACAATGATGTTTTTATTTTTGAATAAAATTAAATTTGAATATATCATAAAATTTTGACAAAAATATATCGATATTAGTGTCAAAATTAACTATTTAAAATTCCTCATTTTTTGTGTAATTTTTTAAATTCAATTTTTTTTATAATTTAATTTAGGTTCAAAGTAATTTATATTTGGTTTAATAATATAATTTTTCTTATAAAGATAATAATTAATTATTTTGTTAGAACTAGATAATTATCCTAATTATATTTTAGATTTTTTATATTTTAAAATGAAATGTTTATTTTCTATTTGATTATGTTTATTCGCAGTTAATTACACGAATTCAAACATCGAGTTTTAATAAGTTATACTCACGCACAATTTACTTGTAATCTCAAATTTTAAGTAATATGCATTAATAAACAGTACTTGATGCATAAAGAATGATTTTTTATAGTTTTTGTCAAATGATTTATAATATAGTATATATATATATATATATATTTTTTAAGAATCTATAATTAAAAATACATATATTTTGGATTTTTTTTTTATATTTAAAGTCTTAAAAAAACCACTTACATCAACATTGATTACTAGAAGTTTCAAATTATATCACATTTAAATATAATTTTTAAAATTATGTTCTTCAAAATAAAAAAATAAGTTTCATTTTTATAACGATTTGTTTTTATTAACATTTTAAAATTAATTTATGGAATTAATTATTGGTGTGAAGGACATTTTGGGAATGTGCAATCAAAAGGTCCCCATAAATTCCAACTGCCCTTATCACTTTCACGTCCATATCCAACTATTAGGTTCAGGTGAATACCAATTTTACATCCTTTTCACTTTCACCCCTTAACTTATCACATAATACATAATTAACCCTATATTATTGTCATCTCCAACTTATCGAGGTCTATTTCGTTTAGTTCCAACATGACATGGATCGGTTTCTGTTCAATTTGATTCCTTTTGAAACTGCAAATGTTCGTGCACACATTGATTAATCCATTGGGAATCTTAAGATTAATTGGTTTGTCAGTTGAAGGTTTCATGTCGTTTTTGAATCTGAGCAAATTAAATTTGGTCAGTTACGTTGAGTTATGGACGATGTGGTTTGGTTCTCAGCGATATTTTCATACTTTTTGCCCTCGTATGGTACGTAATATAAAATTTAAAATTAAATCAAAAGTATCAGAGGAATTATGCCAATTAATATTTTGTCATATCATTTACATTACAAAATATTCGTATAGTGGAAGGTTCAAATAAAAAAAATTAAATATCGTGAGAAAGTAAAAAACAGAAGTTCATATGTGAATCATGAAAAAGTACATTTGAAAATACATATGTGAACTCATATGAATAATCTGTAACGTCGATCACATATGCATTTTTAAATAGATTACTTCGAGATTTTTTCAATGCTCATATATGAATTTTCTCATAGCCTTTCATTTTTTGTATTCTCACAATATTTACCCTTTTATTAAAACCGCCCCTATATACGTAATCTATAAATTTTTATAATAAAAAATTAACAAAAATTTATTAGGCATATATTTAATGGTTGTTTGTTTACCTATTAATAGTTTCATTAACAGACAACTTCTGAATTGTTAAAAGGTTAAATCTTGTTTGACAAAAAAAAGATCCGTCTCTTAATGGTTTCAAAATACTCTGAATGATTTTGTATCCCGAGACTCCCTTAACCATTCAACGTCCTAATTAAATTATGAACATTTACCAAATAATTATATTTCATTTTGCACTATATCATGAGACCTTCTTAATTATTCTGACCACTTAATGGTTCCAAAATATTCTGAATGATTTTCTATCCCGGGATTCCCTTATTCAACGTCCTAATTTAATCATGAACATTTACCAAATAATTATATTTTATTTTGCACTATATTTCATTTGGCAATTGCTGAATGGTTTGGTGCAAAATGATTAAATGGTCAGAATGATTAAGAGGCTCTCATGCAAAATAAAATATAACTGTGTGGTAATTATGTACAATAAAATTAGGGCTCTTAATAGTTAAGGGAGATCCAGGATACAAAGTCATTCAGAGGGTTTTGGAACCATTAAGAAACAAATTTTTTTTCTTGCCAAACAAGATTCACCTTTTAACGATTCAGTGGTTGCCTATTAATGGAACTATTAAGAGGTAAACAAACAACCCTTAATCATCCTGCATCAAATCACTCAGCAACTGTCAAACAGCCTCTTAATCTAGTTATAGAAACTAAAAAAAAAGATCTTTTTCATTTTTATAAAACATTTTGAACATCTAACTAATAATTAGATATATTTTTTTCCAATTCAAACAGCAATAGCATCATTATTTTAAATACCATATGATATGATATAAAAAAAGAAAATAAAAATAAAAAAACAATATAATATAATAAGGAAAACATGAATGTCATAACACTTTCCCTGTACTTTGACATGGGTGGTTGAATATGTCTGCTAAAAGATATATACACAAATATGGAATCCTTCTGCTACCCTTTCTACCAAACTCTGCTACTCCTTTACAAGCTTATACCATTACCATGAATAAAATTACCTCTTTTTTAAATAAAAATTAAAAAAAATACTTCAATTTAAAGATCTTGAATTTGAAATACATTTCAATAAACAGATGACAAAAGTTTTTTCAAACCGGTTCAGCTTTTTTCATGGAAAAGCTTTCACTGGCATCAAAATCTCGGGAGTTCGGAGGTTGAGTTAACGAAGGCGATTCGGTTTCGAGAGGAGAAGGAAAATCAGCTGAGATGGTTTCCCAAGAAACTTCATCGTCCTTGGTTCTTTGTCTACGGTCCAAGAAGGTCGGTTTTAATGGGGATTTTACCATTTCGACCTTCCAAGTCAGCATTGCGACGACCTCCGACATGGCTGGCCTTATGTTTGGATGAGGCTGAAGGCATAATAAAGCCATATGAACTGTTTTCATAACATCCTTCACTACAAAACCATCCTTTTGCATTCTTGGATCAATGAGATCAACCATTTGTGACCTCTCATATAGCTTCCATGCCTTGTATCATAAAACATACAAATTAGTCATAATCAAATTTGTTTTGTAAACATTATACAATACACCTTTAATACTATTCAACAACTAAAACCAAACCAAACCAAACCAAACCAAACCAAACCGACCGAATATCTTGAACCACTAACCAACAACTGTCTATGTAATCTATATAGGCTGTTTACTACTCGCTGACTGCCTCTTACTGGTTGAGACTTGAGAGGTGCTTACCAGGTAAGAAGAGATGTTTATCAACACTGACAAATATGTTGACCAGTAAGAAAAGGGTTGCTTTCTGACTCGGTTAGTGTTTTAGTCAGCATGTACTCATACATTTGGTAAACAACCATTCTTACTCGGTCAGAAAAGCATGTATCAGGCCTTGCAAACTGATGCACAGTACCTAATAATACTCAGAAAAATGAAGCTAGTCCAACAGTATGATACATTTGGGTGGTTGGAATGTAGGGTCGGTAAGACAGAAGCCGAACAAGTAATTGTCAATTAGTGGAATCAAATCATTATAAATGTGTATAAATATCAAAAAGATTTGTTGACTATGAAAGCCAAGTCCTGTCATTCGGTAGCGAGACTTTTTTGTGTTTGTAACCGGTTACAGGCCGATCCATTAACCGGTCACGGGCCTCATGCCCAATGTGCATCTATGACTAATGACTGTAATCCTAAGGAGTTCAATTCATGTATGCTTTTGTGTTTCACCATTCCATGATTTCTTTCGGTTTATTTTACAGCTTACTCCAATTATATTAGACAAGTAGGCTTCTTTTTGTTGCTTTATATTTCCAATTTGTTTGTAGAGAGCAGAAATGTTAATATTGGCAACAAGATGTAAAATTGCTTACATATTCCGGGAGGTACTGCATTTCTGATGGTAGTGAAAGATCGGTGTTTCTCCTGCAGCTAATGATCTCAAGAACCAGAACTCCAAAACTGTAAATGTCAGCCTTTTCAGATAACTCCCCTCTGATGGCATATTCAGGGGCTGTATAACCTCTACAAATGACAAAGACATGAACAAACATTATTGAATTGCAATCTGAAACTTTAAAATGACTATTCTGCATCTGATGGTAGTGAAAATGACATAAATGTGGTATCTGTTAACAAGAGGCATTGTGTAAAGAGGTTCATTATGCAATAGTTATCATTCGACTTATTCAATAAGAACACTTACAATGTTCCAGCGAATGTGGTGCTGAGATAAGCTTGGTCCTCGGGGAAGAACTTGGCCAGGCCAAAATCTCCAATTCTTGGCTGAAAATTGGCATCTAGGAGAATGTTGCTGGCTTTGATATCTCTGTGAACAATTCTGAAGTGGGACTCTTCATGTAAGTAGTGCAAACCCCGAGCAATGCCCAAAATAATTTGGAACCGAGCATTCCAACTCAGATACTGTTTGCTTTGGCCTATTTAGAACAAAATACGAAAGAGGGGTGGGGGGGGGGGGGGGGGAAGAATGGAACATTATCATGAGATCTAGGCACAGCCTGATAACTTAGAAGACAACAATTCTTTTTGTTGTATTGACAATTTGGGCATTTTGTACCATATGAGATATAGTAACCAAACAGACCCACTATATCCCACCTCTTGGGGGATGTACACAAATCTGACCTCTACCTCAAAGAGTAAAACAATTGTTTTCCTAATGACCCCTCGCTTGTGCGAAAAGAAAGGATAAAACTTGCTAAAAGAATTGATGTGAAAGAACATAAGAAGAACTTGAAAATGTGAAAACGTGTTAGGAGTAAGCAACAACATACAAACAAACAACAAAACAAAACATACCAACAGAAGCACGTACAAGAAAAAATAACCAAGGTAAGAATAACTTACACCCCTAATCTAATCTAAGACTCACTGGCTCACTAACCCTACCCCCTTCTTTAACTCTCCAAATCCCTTCTTCCCGACTAGGTTATCTACAATTCCTCACCCTTAGTCTGCTATCCTTATCTTGCGCCTACAAGAACTCCTATCAGAGGCCATTTCCTCGGAAATCCCTAAAGCCATCATGTCTAACCATAGTTGCTCATCCCAAGTTCCAAGTCCTCCTCGGCCTAGCCCTCCTTCACTCTCTTGACACTCACTTTCAACCCTCCTCACTGGCGCCGCATCTGTCTTCTACGAAGTAACATTTTGATTCGAGTAGCTAGAAAGAAGTTAATGCATGTTAGAATGAAATTTTAAAAAAATATACCATATATAATGAGGTCCAAACTCCTGTTCTTCATGTATTCATATACAAGTACCCTTTGAGGTCCCTCAGAGCAGCAACCAAGAAGGCGGACAAGGTTCTTGTGTTGTATGCTTGTGATCATCCTCACCTCTGCAAGAAACTCCGACTCTCCTTGTTGTGATTTATCAAGAGACAGTTTCTTTATAGCAACCAGCCTCCCATCTTGTAATTTACCCTATAAAAAGCGCTTTAATTCATATATCTTGAATCAAATTATGAATAGTTGAACATCATTAGCGTCATAAATCTATAAATTTCCCCCCAAAAACAACAAAAAGGACTTTTTATCGGGCATTAACCAAAGAAGATTTCAAGGAAACATACTAGATAGACCGGCCCAAATCCACCTCTCCCGAGAAGATTACCCTCATGGAAGTTCCTAGAAGCTTCCTTTAATGTTCGAAAGCTAAAATAGCTTATTGTTTGAAGTTTCCCATTAAAATAATCTTTTGCAGCTGCAATTCACAAGAGAAATTTAATCAACTAAAATCAATCTATCAACACGCCATTGATCAGCTTAAACATCACAAACTGTAGACCATATAAGCATATTGAGATAACATATACAACCTTTACAGCTGTCTTCGCGTTTTACACACTTTCCGAGCTGTGTCGGTCTGATAAACTTGCGCAAGGCAACAATAATAATCAGCAAAACTAAGAACAAGACCAATCCTCCGAGGAAAAAGAATAAGCCTGCTCTATGGTGCTTCATTGATGAGCTTTCTTGATCAAGTGATAATGGTATTGAAGGTTTTTCTGCAATAGATGATGACATTATAGTGTTCTTGTCAAGTAAACAACTGTGATACACAAATGGCCATTCCTTCTTTACAGCTTAACATGCTCATATTACTTTAGAACACGATATAAACCAATTTCAGTTACCAAGTGTCTTGAAAGATAACATCATTTACACTTCAAAAGATTATAGTACTAGATTTCATATTTGCAATAGTCCATAATTTACAAATTAATATGCAAAAGTATGTTAGTTTTTTGGAGTAGCATGGTGGTGTAAAGATAAGATTAAACCATAGTAAAAGCAAGAGAGGGACATAACATGAGAAATCCCAGACTCAACCACTACCTTGATAAGAAACTAAAATCCAAACAGTACACAAGACCATTTTTGACCAGTTTGTTGGGAAATTCTCCCGAACAATACGATTTCATCAGTTGGGTCAAATATCAACACCCAAATGCAAGATTCTTGAAGGCTACAAGTGAATGAAAACGTATTTGATGTCAAAACACATCTGTGTCACACCAGGTGCTTGTTTAAAGTTCTCTGTGACAGATTCTTGAAAAACCCAACCGCAGGTTTCTGCAATCACGACTAAACATCAATAGCAAGTAGGATATACCTTGAAGTAGACGAGGCATTTCGTCTTGTCCAAATCTTTACCGTCTCTGCATCCTCCAATGCCTCATTAGCAGAAATGAATTGAAATGGCGGGAGAAAGCAGCAGTTTCTTCTCGAATACCAAAAGCTTGTCTTATGTTTGTCTGGATGGTATAAGGGGAAATGACAAACGACAAAGCCGAGATGATGGAAGCAGATTATCGGAGATTTCAAAGTATAATAAATCCAAAGAAGGGTGTATGGAGGTGATTGTCTTCTTGTTGAAGACGGCAAAATTGGAAGAGAACGTGGATTCGATTTTTTGAATACAAGAATGAGAAGATTCTTGGCTACTGTTATCGAGAGAGAGTGGGGGCAGACCCCCACGAATTCTTCTGAACCTGAAAGGATCTCTTCATTCAACGTTGCAGATTCTCACATTTTCATAGTGAAATTTTTTATTAAATAATTTAAATAGATTGTTACAAACCACAAAGGTATTCATACAATTTATCGAGATATATTTTGATTTTAATATTTCGTTTTATTTTTATCTGTGTCGATATAATACGATTTTATGTGGTTTTAAGAAAGCGATAATATTTTTATTTTTGAATAAAATATAAAATTAAAAATATCATATAAAATTTACAAAAAATATATCGATATCAGTATCATATTAACTATTTAAAAGTTCTTGTTTATTTATTTTTTTAATTCAAAATTTTTATTATAATTTAATTTAACGTAACGAATTAATTTAATTTACGTTTAATATTTTTTTATAAATATAATAATTAAGTATTTTATTAGAATTCAATAATTATCTTAATTATATTTTAGATTTTTTTATAGTTGAAATGAGATATTTATCATGTATTTTATTATGTTTATCTGCAGTTAGTTACATGAATTCATATATGGAGCTTTAATAAGTTGTATTTACGCACAATCTACTTGCAATCTTGAGTTTTAAGTAATATGCATTAATAAACAGTACTTTAAGCATACAAATGATTTTTAAGAGTTTTTGTCAAATTTTTTATAATATAGCATAAATGATGTTATATGTAACTTATTTTACGTAGAAATTACATAAAATTATGAATTGGAAATGTAAAACATAAGTTTTAATTGATATGTTTGAGTAGGAAATTAATAAATAAAAGTTTATTTATTAATATATAGGGATGCAATTTTATGAATAAATATCTATACTATATTATAAAGCATTTGACAAAAACTCTTAAAAACTACTTTTTATGCTTAAAGTACTGTTTATTAATGCATATTACTTAAACCTCAAGATTGCAAGTAGATTGTGCGTAAGTACAACTTATTAAAGCTCCATATCTGAATTCGTATAACTAACTGTAGATAAACATAATAAAATACATGATAAACATCTCATTTTAACTATAAAAAATCTAAAATATAATTAAGATAATCATTGAATTCTACTTAATTATTATCTTTATAAAATTTATAATATTAAACCAAAAATAAATTATTTTATTATTAAACTTAAATTAAATTATAATAAAAAAATAAATTAAAGAAATTACATAAAAAAATGAGAACTTTTAAATAGTTGATTTGATATTAACATTGATATATTTTTCTTCAAATTTTTATGATATCTTCAAATTTATATTTTATTCAAAACTAAAATCATTAATGTTATCTTCAAAACACATAAAATCTTATTATAACATCGACAAAAACAAATAATAAAATAGAAAATTAAAATCAAGATGTGTCTCGCTGTATTGTGCGAGTACTTTTCTAATTTTTTAAAATAAGAAAATCTCTTAATTTGAAATATTTCTTAGCACTTAGTAGTAGATAAACATATTTTATGAGGGAAAAGTCTTAAACTGCTCAAAAAACTTTCTTATTTTGAATAGTTTAGTTTTTAAACTATTTTTTGAATGAAAAAACCATTAAATTTTTTCATTTAGAATGATTAATTTTTTAAACTATTTTTTTTAATGAAAAAAAATCAATAAATTTTCATATTTTTAAAGATTAAGACCCTGAATTTTAAAAAAGTAAAAATAAAGCATTAGATTTCAGGTTAAAAAAATATAGATAACCAATTTTTAATGGTACCATAGTTTATTTATTATGTTCAAAAACTTAATCAATTAAAGTTGAAAAGTTTAATGGTTTTTCATCCAAGATGAAAAAATATAATGGTTTTTTTCATTCAAAAAAAATAGTACAATGTCTTAATAATTCAAAATAAGAAAGTTTAATATTTTTTTTCATTCAAAAAAATAGTTCAGAGACTTAATCATTCAAAATATGATAGTCCGTTGGGGTTTTTTAATTAAATTTTCTCTTTTTATTACTATAGTCTATATATGTTCATGTGATGCAACATGATATGCCGATATATTTTGATTTTAAAGATGAGAACTTGTATGAAATCCATAAAACCACGAACGTGTTTGTACTAATCTTGTGAATTGTAAGGAAACATTTTGCTCTTTTGCAAATTAAGCAGTGTTTCGACATGCTACAAAAACGATTTCGTTACAAACTTTAATTTTTACAGTGTTGGACAAAACAGATTACAAATATTTTAAAATGAAAAGCATTTATATACAAATAAGTTAGATAAACAATTATCGTTAAAAAACCAATCTTTTAAAATAAACGTATAATTACTATTTATTTTAATTAAATTGTTTTTTAATTATCCCATTATTTAAGCTTCGACCCTTGTAATATTTGGGGTTTGAAACTTTAAAATCACAAACACATCTTCGATTTCAATTTTCAAACCCATTTTTATCAATGATTTCAACTTTTGAACTCTTAAAATTAAATATGGTTTAGAAGCATGGTCATTCCTTAGCATATTAAATGTGAGATTTTGAACAGAGTCCCCGAAAAATTGGGGCCCAAATTTACATGTGTTTAGGGTTTTTTTATCAACCTGTGTAAAACTATAGCCGAAATTATTTGGATTCAAACATTAATTGTTTGGTTTTAGGTTCAAACCATTAATGGCATATGTTTAATTTCAGATTACTAATCGTTTTAGGTTTAGTCTATTTTTGTTCTTAACATATATTTTCTGTTATTTCATTTATGCAATGTAACCAAAAGTTTTGGATGTAACAAAGCTTCCAAAGAGATTGGAACGTCCTTGTTTAGAAGTACACATCATTCTCTTTGATATTATCGTATATGAGCAGATCTAAGTTAAAGATCAAAAAACTATTCTCTTTGATTAATTTGTTTCTTTAACGATATCAGGATTCGATCAACAACTTGTTTAGGTAAGAATTTCGGAAATTGTGATGGTGATGAAGATAGTTTAACAACTGTAAAGTTTCTAAAAAGACATAAAAGGAGCAATGAATATGTCAGTGGATTTGGGAATGTAGTTTCATGGTTGCATATACGCAACAAACGTGTCTAAAAACTCCGTCTGGTGATGAGGGCCCACTTATTAGTAAGACGTGTTATTACTATAATTCGTTGTTTTATTATTAGGCATCGCAACCAAAAATTAAGAGACTACAAAACCAAAATTTTAGTAAATATGAGTTTTAGTGATTAACAATGATAGATACATCTGCAATCGTCGTTCAATCATCACTTGGGATGTCATTCATCGAGTCTTCAATTGGGATGGCAATTAAGGTCCGATGGGACGCCTCTGATACTTGTGTTATAAATTTTTTTGACAAAAAATTCTTAAAAATTATCTTTTGTGTATAAAGTACTGTTTATTGATGCATATTATTTGAAATTCAAAATTATAAATAGATTGTGCGTAAGTACCCTTTATTTAAACTCAATGTTTAAATTCATGTAACCAACTGTAGATAAACATAATTAAATACATGATAAACATGTAATTTTAAATAGAAAAAATCTAAAATATAATTATGATGATCATGTAGTTTTAACATAATACTTAATTATTATTTTTATAAAAAAATTAGATTATTAAACCAAAAATAAAAACTTCCATTATTAATCTATACTACTTTATAAAGTATTTAACAAAAACTCTTAAAAAATATCTTTTATGCATAAAATGTTGTTTATTGATGTGTATTACTGAAAATTCAAGATCATAAGTAGATTGTGTGTAAGTATAATTTATTAAAACTTCATGTTTGAATTCGTGTAAACAACTGTAGATAAACATAATTAACTACAAGATAAACATCTCATTTTAATTATAAACACTCTAAAATATAATTAGAATAATCATGAAGATCTAACAGAATACATAATTATTATTTTATCATAAAATTACGTTATTAAGCCAAAAAAAAAACTTCGTTTTATTAAAGAAATTACGGAATGAAAATGAGAATTCTTAAATAATTAATTTGATATTAATAACGATTTATTTTTCTTCAAAGTTTTATTATATCTTCAAATTTATATTTTTTATTTAAAAATAA